AAAATAAATTAACTCATGTAAATATAAAATAAAAAATATCCAACAATTGCATAAGAAAAAAATTGTACATTGGTATTATTACATTTTTAACAGCATTAAAATTTGAGTAAAAGTTCAATCCACTAAATGCAATAAACTGTGCGAAAACTGTTATAAAAATTAATTTTAATCCTCTATTTTATTATAGTGCGGTATGACACAATCGAATAATTGTTTTCACAGCATCTGTAAGTCAATCATATCTGATTGACTTTAATAGAATATGTTACTTCTGCATTGTTTCTTAAATGGACATATTTACAGTAAAAAAGCATTTAGAATTATAATTATATTCCTAACAGTAATATTATTAATTTCTTTAATTAAATTATTAAATGTAATTTTTATATAATTTAATAATATATTAAATACTTTTAAATTTCAACACTAAAAAAAATGTTCTTTTCACTTGAACATTTAAAACCTGCGTATGAAAGTGAAAATACTATAACATTTCCATACAAGTGCATAATCCATGGATAATGTGTGTCCATTTAAATGAAGTAAGCAAAATTTTTGAATTAGCAAAAACTTAAGTTCATTCTGCATTTGGTTCAGAGCATAATTTCTCAAATACGCTTGCTTAACCTCTCTCAAGGTTATTCACAATGCAAACACTAACATTTCTACTGCAATTTTCTGCACGCAGTCGATGCATAGGTTGGCAACAGTGTAGATGTAGATATTTCTGTTTCTATGTGCATGTGTGCGTGTATGCTTGTGTATGGTTGTGGGTGAAACGTAATAAGCAGTGAGCTATAAATGTTTATGCTGAAGTTGGTATTTCTGCTCAGTGCTCCGTTTGGGGTCCTGCGAACGATAACAACTACTGCTACGATAATGACGTTAAGGACGATGACTGCTCTATGGTGGTTGGTGTGTTGCATTATGCAGTAAATGATTAAGTGGCTCGTCTCACTTTGTACTTAACATGGCCAGTGCCACCGCAAAGCATACTTCACTACTTACTCCAAACAATCCGCAATAGTTTGGTTGTTTACAGTATGAATTGCATTTGGTGCATTTGCTGCATTTATGATTAAATTTGTGCATATGTTAGTAAATGTGTTTGTACAATATTTCTTGTATCTTAAAGAGTTCAGTAGCATTTCTTTGAACTCTAGTGAATGAACTGCTTAGTGATTTTTGAACCATCAATCTGCGATAATTCCGTTTTGTATTAAAAGAAAAAGCATTTCTTTTGAACATAGTTTTATATAAATGTTCTCTTAAAAATAAAGTTAAGAAAACAATCTTAGATAGTTTTAATTTATGAAATAAATGAAGAAGGTTTTAATGATGTTATTTTAGTTGTTGAGTTTTTAAACTTCAGTAATCAAGAAATTCAATAAAATCAACTGCAATATTTAGAGTTTAGATATTAATGTCATAGGGAGTTAAAAATTATAAAAGCGTATGACTTTTTTTCATATTCTTAATAAAGAGGTTTTTTCGAACAGTAGTGAACTACAACAAAAAAAATTTTATTTTTTATATTATATTAATTAAATGAATTTTTGGCTGACCATACAGCTGTTTCGAATATTGCCAAATACCCATAATCAGTGGTTTTGGAAATAATTCTTGTATTAAATTATTCGCAAATAATTATTTCCTTAATATGTAGTTTTTTTTAAAAGGTTTTTGTATTAGAAAAATTATTCAAAAGTAGGCAAACAAAATTTATTTATAAATGTTTTAAGAACATTTACTTATTTTGTCTCAAAAAATAACTACTAACTATTCCCTTCGCGTCGATTATATTGTGAAAAATACAAACTTTCAATATCACCTTAAAACCCGATTATATTACATATTCGGAATTATGGAGTTTTAAACAAGAAAATAAGAACCGTGTCATATCTTAATATTGAATGGGTAAAGGGTGAATACCCTTAGCACAGAATTTTGATTAACAAATAAAAAGAGTTTCTAGAACAAAAATATATTCTTTAGATTCTTACTAAGTAACCTGTAAAACAATTATTAAATTTAATATTAAAGTCAAATATGACGAAAGGAACTATTGTTTTAATAGACACAATTATTTAAAAAGGAAAATTTTTGAATAGTGAAAATCTTGAATAGTAGCCATATTCAGTCGTTTCTTGCTAATTCATTAGTAAATTACAACAAAAAAATTTTATTTTTAATTAAGAAAAATTAATTTTCAATGATATTGAAAATAAGTTAGTTGTTAATACATTTCCTGATAAAATATTTGTAACTGAAATGTCCCCTTCACTGCTATTATATGCTACTTCTTGTTATGGATTTAAGGATTAAAATATTACATATTAGCCACGTTTATCACGTTTCAAATTTCTTTCAAATGCGAATAATCTGTAAATTTTCATTATTATCTTTGATTCGGAATAAGGAAAAGTTAGTTTAGGGAAAAGTTATAGTACATATTTATCCGATTTAGACTTTTCCACCAAGTTCACCAAAGTGGTTGCCAAAAATTCCATACATTGAGATACCATCATTTGTTTTAGAAACTGAAAGACTAGTTTGCGTGGAAATAGACAAACAGGGTAAAGGGAATCGGGCTAGATCTGGCTGAATAACAGAGTTAATCAAAATAATAAAACTGTATAGGGTGTGAAAAATCGTCTTCACTACCTGACAGACATTTCGATAAGTTAATATTTGAATTTTTAATTATTTATAGGAGTTATAAATTGTGATTTAATGGAGTAGGTGGCAGTTCGCAATTTTTCTCCCTAATATGAGTTCATCACATTTGATTCATACTGAGATATCTTAGCCATCAATTTAGCTTTTATTGTCATACCAATTTTTATTTAAAGTTTTACCGATCGGAAATTGAGAAAGTAAAGAAATAAAGAAATATATGAAAGTGAAATAATATACATTTTAATATACAATCATATAAGATAAAGGATGTATGAAAAACTGAAGCGAAGAGATAATAATTTGTTGCAGAAACTAAATACTAGACGCCTTCTTAGAAGAAATTGTAGCCTGAATGTTACAACCACAACCTCACTTCTTAGCATTACTATTAAAATAAAGAAGAATTTGAAGAAATATAATAAAATGAACTAAAAGAATTTTAAGAGTTGATTATATGATTGTAATTATAAATAAAAACAGTATATCAGAGTATACTGAGTATAACTGTATAATTCAAAGAAAATGTATAAAGTGTAATACATACTTTGGACCTCTTGATAACCAGTAATAATAAACTACAATTAAATCAAATTATTTTATATACTTTATCTAGTAGTTTACTATAGTAGCCATAGTATGAATTTATAGTACCAATAATCGGTGGATACTCATCGGTATAACTTAATATAAATCTAAATTTCTGGGTATGAAAGATTGGTTTGTAACGAAAGACCTAGTAATATTGCAAATGAAGTCGTCAGAATTCTCTTCACAGAATTCATGTGATTTCGTCAGAAATTATACTAGATTTATCGAAATATTGTCAATTAATTATTTGCATAGCTATTGATTGACGTTAGGGACTATATAGTAGCTTATCCAATGAGCTCATTTCGATAATGAATCAAAATACTGACAAGTTTCTTTGTTTAAGTAGAACTAAACTGGTCTTCATGGATGTACATTTTTCGTCTACTATCAACTCTCACTGTTGGAAAACTTTCTATAGTGACTTAATATCAAATTCGTAATTATCTGATTATATGACAAAAATAAATATTATTATGCATTGGTTTGATTATCACTCATATATAATTGAATAACTACTATAAATTAAATAAGCAATTCAATTATTATCTGTATTTGTAAATATTTATTAAAAAACATTTAATATTATTTAAGAACATTTATTGAATCAAGAATAATATTTTTGTTTGTGTTTGAAAATATTGTCCTTCTGCAATTTCTTTTTATTTCCACAACCTGTGGAGTTTTGTTTTTATTGCCATGTCATATCTTGCCACTCCCTGCTAAACATAACAGCCAACTATTTTCAACTGTTATTATTTCCTTTGTATTGTAAACAACGTTTTGTTGTGTTATTGTTAAGCATTTCCTCTTCTTAAAAAGCATTTTGGATATTTTGTGTGGTTAATAGTAGTTCAAACTTATATTAATATCCCACGTACTTCTCCAGTTTTTTAGTACAAAAGTTAAAGTTCACCACTTTCTACGCAAAAACAACTCATTCAAACAAGTCTCAAGTAAAGATTCAGTAGAAGAAAATCAAATGTTACAACATGTTGCAAGTAAGTAAAGGAAAATACTCCTTATACATAACATGTTCACCACAGTAGTTAAACAGTGCGCTATGGTGTAATGCGAAGTCGTGCAAAGCAAACCACCACCATTCGAGTTTGTTTGTTTCATGTGTAATTTTTACTTATAATTTCTGCAGGAGTAAACAAGGTTTCGTTAAGTTTGCTTTGCGCATGATTTTTGTAAGGGAAATTTTCTCTTACTTTGTATTTGTGCACTAGTATGGTAAAATAATATTTATTGACTTAGGTTCTGGTAAGTCATTTTTGCATGCAACAGGTTTGTGGTTCGTTTATATTGAAATCTCTTAAATTTTTCTCTTTTCAAAATAATATGAAATGACAGTTTTAAAATATTAAAGTGAATTAATATTGCTAATAAAACTTTATATTCCTTTGTTAAAAAACTGATTGTGAATGGCTTTCATATATTGCTTTTAACATTTTCTTCTTATTACATTAAGTCAAGGAAACAATTACTCAATATGAATAAATTTTAATTTGTGGACTCAATAGAGGTGAGTTCCTGTACCTGAAAGCAACTTATTCTTTCTTTTTTATTAAAAAAACAATAAATAATTTGCTTAAAACATAAAAATAATTTTATTGCATTTCTTTTTTTTCTAACATTACTAATTTACGTTCTAATTTACGTCCAATTGTACTACCAAACACTTAAACACAATTAATATATAAGCTAAATCATTAAAAAAAAACATTTGATTTAACCAAAATTATGTGTTAAACCGAAACCAAAGTTTTTGTTAACTTGTCCATTGAATGGACCACCGAAGTTCTTTGAAACTCCACCGGTCAGGTCAAAACTTGTTTGTCTGTCAAGTGAACGCCATAGATTAGCTTTGGCATCCAAGCCAACTGTATTCATATTCAGTTGTGGTATGCGTGAGGCAGTCAAGGAAGCGCCATGCCCATTTGCGTGGTTGTAGTTCAAGCCACCACCGACGCGATCGAATTTGAAGCCATTCTCTAGATTTGTGCGACTGTGGAAAGCATTAGCGGCTAAGTTGTGATTATTTTTGTCCAATAAGTTAACGTGAGCGTTTTGTTGGAAAGTTGAACCGAAACCAGGTGTCTTGGAATGTTGCAAGGAGAGTCCATGTCCATCTCTTTAAATTTATAATTTATATATAAATTTTTTATTTTTTATTTAATTAATAAATATTAAACTCACTTATTTGCTGCTAAGAATCCTCCAGTTGTTAATGGACCTCCATTCGTGTTGCCATTGGCAAAGAGACCGCCACCAACATTGGTCTTCGCATCACCAATGGATTTGCTTAACATTAAATTAACATCTTGTCCGCCATTTGTAGGATTTGCTGCAATTGAGCCCGAAAGCTGGCCATTGACCACCGCAGATAAACCTAGTAGAACGATGCAAAGTATGGTATTCATAATGATGCTTAATATTTGCTAGTGACTTGAAAGACTACTAAAATTGAATTGTGACTTGATTACAGATTTCGCGTTGCTTTTATAATACTTTTAAATTTCCTATTTGCTGCTTATTTTGCAATTTTTCAGCAAAAGATTAATTACCGTTTTGAATTCTTTTGAATTCAGTTTTATGATCTGTGCCTAATGCTGCAAGGGGAATTTTTTTATACACTCGTTCCTTATCAGTAACTTTGGGATTCACCAGAGTAAATTTTATTTGTGGAATTGATAAGCTGCTGTGTGTTTAGTGACGTTCTTAAGTAAAATAAAAAAAAAAACAAAAATACAGACAATTAAAAATTTTTATATGTAGTTTTAATTTTACTCTTTGTAAAATATTTAAATAAAAGTACCAAATTTAAGCAAAATACAATATTAAACAATATTTAAAGAAAAGCACCATATGTTTTTTGTGTACATTAAAGTGTCATTTCAATAATTTGCTTTTCAACTTATTTAACGCGGGAAGTACCTCATTTAACTATTTTGCTGGGAGAAAGAATTCAGCGCTTGTCGTTTTACAAATATCTATAAGATTTGTGTTTTGTATTTTGTAAATACCACAGCTCACATTGTGTATAAATTATGTGATGAGTAATCAATTATACTATGTCTGTAGTATCTTCGATTAGTTTTGTGCTTACGTAGATAATTTGCTATTTGTGAAAGGTCAGTAAAGAGTAAATAGTTACGACTGATATATGTTACGGATGTAAAATTAAATACTCTGCGCTTTAAAATACATGTATAAAAAATTAAATTATAATAATTATATGGCAAAATATATAAAGAATTTTGCAAAACAAAGTAGTTTTGTAGTTTATTGTATAAAGTGAATTCTTCATAAGATCCTGAGCTTATTGAACACAAGACTTCTTCTAAGAAAGTTTATTAGACCGAACGCCCACGAAAAGAATTATATTTAAGATCTTAAGAATATCAAGTGTATTAAAAACTTCAAATGTCCACAATAAGAAAACTATATAAGATCGTAAGCATATGGAGTAATTCATAAAATGTTGCTGAACAAACAGAGTTACTTTCAATTTTAAGTAAGTTTTTTTTTTAATATCGAAAACATTACAAAACTAAATATTTTATTATGAATTCTTTCAAATAGAATAAATTCAGTTGTCAAGCTCGAGCATACATAACTCATTAATATGTGTGAAATAACATAATTCAGATATTTCAAACTTTAGTTTGCATTCTGCGTTAAAACAAAATTTTGTTTTAGAAGTCTCTTTGCAGTTTAGAGTTAGTGATACTTTAACCTAAGATAAATACTAAAAATTTATCAAGATATAATTATCTTCTTGATATGAAATAACGAGCTCTTCGTATTATATTTTTCATAAAGCAGTGGTGTATACAGAAACGCTTGAGAGTAGGTCCTTCCCTTGACAGAATAATCTACATATTTTCTATTAAATTGCCAACCTTGGCATAATCCTGACCACTAAAGTCGGAAATGGATAGAATATAAGTAAAAGTTATACCCTAAAATTCAATCAAGGAAAGCTGACAGCTGAATGTGAGTTATTCTCTGCGCATCCACAATCTATACTATTTAGCCCGATTAAGCTACAATCGTTAGAAAACATACTTAACATAAATGTACTACACTGGATGTCGTCAGCTACAGATATACACTTATTTAATTATATTTATTGACAATTGTAGTCAGGGATTGGAGTTTATTGAAGCGTTGCTCATTTTTACTTAGATGTGTAGAAATAAATAGGATTGTTGATTTTAGTTTATAATGGGTGTTTTTTTTAGCTGCATACGAACTATTAATATCGATTACTATGGTTTGACAGCTGAGAATGCCAAACTGTGTTGACATTTCTGTTAAGAAAGGTTTGGCATTTCATAATATGAATCGTCTAATGCTAGAACAACGCTCTCAAATTGTGGAAATTTACTTTGAAAAAAATTAATCTGTGCGCGAAGTTTATAGAGGACTTTGTCGAAGAATTGCGTTTAGTGCTGAAGTTAATAAACAAAATTGTCGTATATAGAGCGAAAATAGTCCTCAAGCCGTTAACAAATCAATATTGCATCCATTAAAATTGACTGTTTGGTACGGTTTACACGTTGGCGGCATCATCGTTCCTTATGTCTCGAAATGAGGAAGAAACAGCTGTTGCGTTGAATGGCGAGCACTATCCATTCATGTTGACTGAATTTTTGTTATCAAAAATTAATCAATTAAACATCGACAACATTTGCTTCCAAGAAGACGGCGCAACTTGCCATATAACTCGCTCAACAATCTATTTATTGCTAAATCAATTTGGTAAGAACTTTATTTTCAGTAATGGACCAGTTGTGGTTAACTGGCCTTATTTTAAGTTCTTATCCACCTAAAAAAAAACAACCGTAATATTATATTAACTAATTGTGCTTTTAAGTTAAGAATTAACATATCTATAATAATTTGAGCTATCTACTATTGCCAGGTAGTGGTTTTGTAAAAATCTAATCTATTATTTTACATTTTGTTTCTTTTGAAAAAACAACAATAAAAACTACAAAATTTCTTGTAGTGTAAACGCTTTAAAAATGTGGTTTAAAAAAAACATATCATGAGTTATAGTTAATATGTATTATAATATATTATTATACATATAATATATATGATACTACTTTTTAGAGCAGACAAGTGAAGCCATGTTGTGTATTTCATATTAAATTAAATTGTTGAATTATATATAAATATTATATGTGTATTCTAATAATAAAGATAGAACAAACTAAGTGCATTTCAGAGCTTTAACACCTATGTTTTAAAGATCTGCTTCCATACGCTTCACAGATTATACTGGTCCTCATGTGATGGTTTTGATGATAAATAATTTTTCAGTTACGAATTTCATTAAAGTAGTTGAACAGAATCTCTTAAAAGACAAAGAATATGAGAGGACTTGTAGTAGATGCATGGCGTTATGTCTCAAATAATTTGTTCTCCACAGTGAATGTGTATTATTCTGCACAACTTTTTAAAATATAATTTATTTATCAAATTGAAAAGCATATGAAATTCTAAGAGATTTAAAATATCAGTAGTAAATAATCATTTTGCGCGATAAGTTGAATTTTGTTCAGTTTTTTATTATATTTTTTAAACATTTTTATTAATTTTTAATTTTTATAAAATAGTGTCATTTAGTTTTAATAGAATGAAAATTGCATTTATTAAAAATGAGATTAACTGATTTATTATATTTTAATCTGGTTTTTGTAATACGCGGAGGTTTGTTTGAAAGAATTCGAAGACTTTTAAGTGCGACTACTTTTATCCGGACGCAGATTATGTTCTTCGTGGTACGCAAACCAAACCCAAGGAGTTCCCATACATGGTTGTACATTTATTTATTTAAATTTTAAAAATATTTTCTTAATTTACACCGGGCTAAGGTTGTTTTTCAACACGTAAAAATTATAAAAAAATTATAAATTATAAAAAAAATTTTCTCTATTTTTTTGTTTAAATATTTATAATATAGATATTTTGGTCTATATTCATCCAATTGCTTGTCTTTGGACTTCTTCCGACATTAATCTGGACACTGTGACTGTGATCGGGTATGGAAATACACGCTTTGGTAAATTTCAATATTTGTTATAAATATAGGATAATGCTATATGTAAACATTTTTATAGTTGGATCTCAATCTCCACATCTCTTAAAGGCAGACTTAGATATTATACCAAATAAGGATTGCCAAAGTTTTTATATAGATGAAGACAACTTACCAAAAGGTATTCTTGATCAACAAATTTGTGCGAAAGACCCTGAAAATAAACAAGATGCTTGTCAGGTAAATAAGTAATTATCGTATTTATTTTATATAACATCATTATAAGAAGTTATTTCAAAATCAAATAAAAAGTAACAGTTTTAACTTTAAGGAAATTTCAATATCCTTAACTTATAAAGTTGAATAACAAATAATTTCGAGAGTCTAAGATCCAAACGTCACTTTAACAAATAACTCATAAAAAATAATTATTTATATAAAATGTAATATAACTTATTTTAAAACCATAATAATATCTTCAGGGTGATTCTGGTGGTCCGCTTATAACAAAAGTGCGACGGATGGTGGTTGTACGACCTTTTACATTTGGTATAACTTCCGTTGGACAAGGTTGTGGTGGTCAGACGCCTGGTGTCTATATGCGCGTGTCAGAGTTCGTTGATTGGATTGTAGCGATTGTGTGGTCCAGTTAAGATAACTGGACCAAATTTATTTAAAGAAAATTAAATTTAATAGATAAAATATTTTGTTGCTTTAATAAATCGGATAAAGTAAATCAACTAAACGATGTCTAACTCTTTGTGTTGCCATATAAGTCAGTTATTTGATGTGAGTTGTATTCTGTTAACGCGGATGTGATTTTGCAAAATTTTGCATTATAATCTATAAGTTTTAGAACAATTCACATTTAAAGTTGTGGCATCTATTTTAAAATATCTCGAAAAAGCAATGTAAAAAAATGGAAATAATACACGCAGTATCAACCATATTTTTAAATATTGAAATTGCTGTTGCTGTTAGTTGACCATTACAGACGTGTGTCGTCCTTGGTCACGTCGAGTAGCCTCCGCCAGTCAGCCCGATTAGTTGCTTTCTGACGCCAGTTGGTAGTACCGAGCGCCCCCAAATCGTTGGTCACCTGGTCCTTCCACCGAAAATGCGGACGTCCTCTACCGCGTTTTTCACCTGCGGGTACCGAATCAAATAACTTTCTAGCCGGAGCACTTTCTTCCATTCGCACGACATGACCAAGCCAGCGTAGCCGCTGAATTTTTATGCACTTAACTATGTCAATGTCGCGGTACAGCTCATACAGCTCATCGTTCCATCTAATTCGATACTCGTCGTCAACGCGTAAGGGACCATAGATCTTCCGAAGAATTTTTCTCTCGAATGCTCCTAACGCCTTCTCATCACTGTTGGTAATTGTCCAAGCTTCTGCACCATACAGCAGGACAGGCATGATAAGGGATTTGTAGAGCGTGAATTTTGTTTGTCGAGAGAGGGCTTTATTTCTTAATTGCTTACTTAGCCCGAAGTAACATTTGTTGGCAAGAGTAATTCTTCGTTGAATCTCTAGGCTGACGTCATTTTTGGTGTTTAAGCTGTTTCCTAAATAAACAAAGTCTTTCACAACTTCGAACTTATAATTGTCAACAGTGATGTAGGTCCCAAGACGCTCAGGAGATTTGTTTGTTGACAGAAAGTACTTTGTTTTGTCCTCATTTACCACAAGACCCATTTGCTTTGCTTGTTTTTCTAAGTTTTCTAAGGAAAATACACCACTGACGACGCGGGTGTTCAGACCAATGATATCAATATCGTCGGCATACGGAAGCAGCATTACACTTTTGTAGAATATTGTGCCAGTACGGTTTAAATCTGCTGCTCGAATTATCGTTTCCAACATTAGGTTAAAGTAGTCACACGACAAGGAGTCACCCTGTCTGAAATCTCATTTGGTATCAAACGGCTCGGAGAGGATCTTTCCAATTCTAAAGGAGCTTACATAGCCGTATAAGTTTTGCTGGGATACCAAATTCAGACATAGCGGCATAGAGTGTGCTTCTAGTCGTAGTGTCAAAAGCAGCTTTGAAGTCGACAAAAATATTGAAATTAGTGGAACACAATTATAAACAGTAGGTTTATATACATATATTATGTTACATATTTAATTTAATTAGAAATTAGGCCTTCGTTTGTATTATAGTCAAATATATATCTTTCATATGAAGAAAAGTCGACTTTATGCATTCTTCCTTTAAATTATATATTCATGTTTATGCATAGAGCACAATTAACCTAGTCGCTAGTTGGAATATTCAATATATATTTTATATTTATAATTACATACATTTTAAAAATATAGTTGAATATATGCATTGTTGTAGCGGAGATCGTCACAAGTAGGTATGACACTGACTTATCGTGAATCATGTATGCATACTAAGTAGTGTATGCACAATTTGCCCAGTTTGATGCGGGGTCATTGCATTACTTCGTAAAAGGCAACAAGCCTTTTTAAACGGTACCGAATGGACTTCATTATGCCCTATGTACTGTGTGCAGTTACATATAATGATGCGTTAAGAAATTAAGTGACAACTTCTGTGAATAACTGTGAGTAATAGTGAGTAGGTATTACAGCAAATTTAAGATTACTAAAAGGATTAACAATAAAATAATTATAATTAGCAAGATTTTAAAATTTTCTAGGGAATTTCTGGGGAATGATAGCTTTTGTTTTAAATGTTTACTACAAATAATGAAAGTAATTAAATTTTTTACATCTTCAGAAATAGATTGAATTTATAACATACGTTAGCATATTAAATTTTTGCATTAAAAGCAACTTATTCAAATTACAGAAAACTATATATTCAATAAAGTGCATTATAAACAATATCAGAAATGTATTTAAGCATTTTATTGATTACAATTTAATTTAAAATGTTTATATTAAATGAAAAGTGCTCAAAATTCTAAATGCAGTCAATGAAACATTTTTATGAACCATAAACTAGACTCCAACTTGCTAACACTGCTCCATTGGAAAAAACTGTGGTTGCCACTTCTAATATTACTTGTTTTCGCAATTCCATATAATCCCATATTTTCATGTACTTATGACAACAAATTTTTTTTTCAAGATACAATTGGTCAAACTATAATTAAATAATATATTTATTTAATAATTAATTTTAATATAAATTAACAAACGTCTACATTGACTTGTAACATTTACCAATCTGGAGCTCCATTTGGTGACTAAAAACGCATGTTCCTTGAATTGTAATTGCAGTATCATATTTTGAATATGCTCTTCCATATCAGCTGTACTTTGTCCTATGAATAATAACATCAAGACATTAAGACTGATTATAACTGATGTCACTAACTGTGACCACTCTAATTTGCCTAGGAATAAGTCCCGTGTAAACCATGAACATATGAGCATATCACAACCAATATCTGGCGTTAACAACGCGACTGAGTATCGTTCCAAACACTTTCGCAGTTTTAATATTTTTCTGTTTAAACTTATTAAATTTTTTACCGAAAGCTTTACTTTACAGTCTTCGTTGTGTATTTCATCCAAGTGTTTCGATATTCCTTTAAGAAATCCGTGATAAACCGTAAATGAAAGCGCTATGGGTATAGGTACAAGAAACTGTTGCATGCATATTAATGTTAAGATGATGATAACTTCTAAATTTATTGAACATTTATTTAGAATAAAAACCATGAAAAACCCACGAACCATAAAATACAGATAAAAAAACCAATTAGTCTGTGGTTCCTTTGAAAATAAAATTTTATATTGTTTGTATGTTTCCAAAAATATATTCAGATATGATTGAACTTCATTTAAATTATATATTGTTAAATAGTAGTTAATTGCATTATAAGACATTGATTTTAACAAAAATCCAGTTGAAATGTATAACTGCACTTTATCTGTCATTCGTGTTTCATATTGGAGGTAATTTAAAATGTTATTAATTACACCATATATTATTAATACACTTAGGATCAACATAAAAATATGATACGTGTGTATAATTTTAGATCTTAATAATGAAAATTCAAACCGTTGCGATTTTTCATTAAATCTGGTAGGATTTATAAAAAAAATTTGCGTCATAATATGCACTATTTCAAATTGAACCTCCAATGAAGACAGCATCGTTTTTATGAGTTTATTTTTTTATTTTTACACTATTATTTTAATCAATTACACGTTTCTAACTCTTATTTGAAAGAGTGTATTCAAATTTTGAGATTCTTTGAAATTTTCGGCTTTGTACCTAGAAGATTTAAGAGTTTAATTCAATGTATTATGTTTTATGTTTATGATAACATAAAAATTTTTTAATATATAATCTTGATATAGATTTTTATGCAGTAACGAAGTTCGTTTTTCCTCAAATGTGGAACACGATGTCAGTTGTAGAAAAATTATTGCAATTATTACTTTCAGTAAATGTATTCAGTTACTGTGAATCATAATCATTAATTCAGTATAATGACAGTGACGACTTATGTAAAATACCACTTAACTCTAGAGTGACGTATTAAGCTCTTAATAAAACTTTTTTTTTATAAAAAATAATATATGTACAAAAGTAAATGCTGTTGCTAATAACTTTCTTCTATTTAAATTAATTTTATATAATCATTAATAATTTTTTAATAAATATAAACTATTACTATTATTATTTTATAAAAAATATTAGATATATTCAATAAGTAAAATTATGTATTTAGTAAATTATATAAGTTACTTCAGCATTATTAAGTAAATTATGAGGATTCATAACAACACACAAATTTTAAACTTCATAAACTTCTAGTACTTTAAAGTCGTTTATTCCAGACTTTTGTTTAAAAATTCATTTAAAACCTAAAGAAAATAGTTAGGCACGTAGGAATGCTTGAGGAGCTGAATATTTATATTCGGGAAAATATCTCAAAGCCCTACCAGAGACAATTTTTGACCCCAGACCAAAAATTCTATATCTATTAGATAGATTCTATATTTATTTAAAAACAAAACACATACTAAAAATATATTTATTACCTATTATTATTTCTTACTTTTGTAGCGAAGCAACATTAAGCAATCACTAAATATTGTATCTCCGATCTGGAACTACATTTCTATGCTGAAAATGTATCTTTTTACATTAAATTTTGTAATTTCATGTTCTGACTATACTCTACTACATCAGCTATTTTTTGTATGAAAAAAAAGAAAATTAAAAGGTAATAAAAAATATACCCAGATGAAATTGAACAGTTAAGTGAGTATAATCATTTTATTGAGAAATAAAGACTGCACGAATTATATACATATATAGATATATATTTCAGTTCACAGATCTTGCTTTACCAATTATTGTACCAGGCATTTTACAGTTTGAACTTTCACCTATAGAAACTTATCAAATTTCGATTAATAATTTCATTATGAACCTTTCACAATATATAACATATTATCTAAAAACTTCAAAATAACTCTTAGTTATACTTTATAAATTGCAAAATCAAATACTGCTGTTATAGGAATGGATGAAAGTGTACGGCAGCTGCAAATAATTTACACAGAAGACCAATGTTTCTGAACCTATTTTGTGGAACGGCTCACTTATTCTTTTCTTTTCGAACGATGAAAGTCAACCTTTATTCTTTACATTTCTCATGAACAATACTTTTATAGTTTATATAAAAATCAACATATATTTGATTATATTTCCAGTGTGGTTTTCATAAATCATATAATAGTAATTGATATTCAAGACAATTTTTTATTAATTGATTAATTTTTTATTTTATTAATTCATTAATTATTTTGATTATATTATTTTATATAGTTTTATTTAAAATGAGTTTATGTTTAGAATATACTTTTTGCTCTTATATCACGAACTACGTACATACTCTTAACAAATTGTTTTATAATATTCTTGTTTATAATTTTTTTTACTTGAAATTAATAATTTTTTGTTATATTTATATTTATGAAATATTTTTTTTACAGTTTTCACACTGAGAATGTATTGTACTCAAATGTCGAAGGCGATGTTTATACTATTTTAGGCACCAACTGCCACAAATCTAGTCATAAGAGAGTAAATAAGTTGCTGTGAAAACAATTATAATTATTACCTTTGCATAATACACTAATTGGAAACCATAATCACAAATTTATATTTATGGTAGAAATAAAATATGTTTAATAAAGCAATTATGTTTTAATTTGTAGGGGCAAGGTAATGTTCGGAAATAAAGTGCTTTACATTTATTAACAGAATTGAACATTTATATAATATATTATATACTCTAATCAACTATTGTATTTGAAAATTTTTAGTATTATATTTATCGAGATATAATCAATGATCGTCTGAAAGACGAAAAAAGTTGTGTAATTGTTGCCTTTTTAATATATACTAATATACAAGGTGTTAAAGAGTTATATATATATTTTTGTTAAAGTATCATTCATTTTTGTTAAAGCGTCACTAATTTCTCTACTTACCTCTTACCATCAAAAGCAAGAAACTTATGTTATGACATTAATACGTGTACATATATATAAATAAGTCTTTTTAAATTTTATGTTTAGAGACATCGTTTTTCATGTTAATTTAAAACTTTTGTTGCCAAATTTTTCCTATCGAGATCATCTGCATAACAGAAATCAAATATATTACTTACGAAAAACACTAATATTTATTTGTTGCTTAATAAAATGCAGAGTTGTATTTCATGATGTGTTAGAATGCAATGCATTATATAAATTAAAGGATTATATGAATTAACGAGCGAAACGGAAGAATATAACACAATCTATTTTCGAGGTTAGCAAGTGAGCACTCAGGAAAAGCAACGAATAGAGTTGTTGGCAATTGAATGTAAGCTATTCGCTGCGCATCTCTGATCTATAGTACTGAACCCGATCAAACTACAACCGCTAGAACCCATATTTATACAGATACATATTTATTAAATTATATATATTGACAGCCATGTATTGCAATTTAATGAAGCATTGCGCAGTTTGTTATATGCAAAATTTTGAAAAGTACCTTCAAATTTTATATGTGGAAGTTTTATATATTCACATGAAGTAATCTTTTATTAATAAGTTTTTAAAAAGACATCAGTATATACTTTTTCGAATATACTAATGTATCAGTATTATGGTTTCTTTAACAATACAGCTTGAAAATTTGAAATGTTGATCAGCTCGAAATCAATTTTGAGTTCCTGATAATTTTAAGTTTTTCTAGTACTACCTCAAGGTAGTATTCTATAACTTTATATTTGGCACAGAAATATCAGATAACCCATATATCATTGCTCAGTATATGTTTATGTAAAAATTTATTTATTACATGCGGTTTTCATTGAATTGTAACTTAATAAAAACAAGGAAATTTTTTATGGTATAGATACTTTAAAAATGTACTTTTCCCATTAAAAGCTCTATTTAGCTCTTGCTCCAATTTTATAGCAAACAATTTTTTTTGTTTATATATGCATTTCTAATAATTCATTTTTTCACGTTAATGTGCATACTTAAATGATATATATATATATCATTATATATATATATATATATATATATATATATATATATCATTATATATATATATATATATATATCATGATATATATATTATATATGATATATATAAATGATAAATGATATATATTTTAAGTTAAATATATTTTAAGTTAAAATTATTTTCATTTAAGTTAGGAAAATGCAATTAATCGCATTCAAATTTAAATGAAATCGAAATATTGTTTAAATTTCAATTTAACAGCAGTTAATTTAATGAAATATATTAATAAAACTCTAATATACATTAGTTTTAAATACATAAACTTAAAACTTATAAAAGGGATTTAGTGAAGAAATTAAAAATTCTAAAGTGAGACATAATTCTGAATTCCATTTATATATAGTAGTATTTCTAGTCATTTTATAAGTGTTTAATAATAATAATAAGCCTTGCTTGATGTCTACGATTTCGAGTAGCTTCTTATACTGGCCATAGACTGTCCATAAGTTGCTTCCTCTTTTCGAGCCGCAACGCTACGTCCTTTATATCTAATCCATTTTCGTTGCGTTTTTTCGTCATCAAGTTTGGGTTCAGGTTTTCATTTCTTATAGCCATCCTGGGAATCGGTTTACGCTTCAGGTACAATGAGTGATCGGTCCGTTGTACCCTTTATAAGTGTTTAACTTATATTATTCCCGTAACGAGTAAAGGGTAAAATTTTAAATATCTTTAAAAAATCATAGCTAAACATATAGTTAATATATGTATATTAAATAAATTATTATATATGCAACATAAGTATTATAAGGTCATGTTGTATATTTCTCATTGAATTATATTGCTGAAATATATATAAAATAAACTATCCATTTAAATTAATAAAGAAAGAACTAGCAGAGTACTTTTCAGAGCTTTAATATCGGTTTAAAAGATCTGCGTTTCCATACGTTTAGGAAAAAGATTATCTTGGTACCTCATTCGCAGGTCTCAATGATAACTAAGTTTTCAGTTAGTTGAACAGAATCTCTTTAAAGACAAAAAATGTGAGAGAGCTTGTACTTAATGTATGGCATTATAAATTTTTGTTTTCAGCATCTCAAAAATTTATGCTCGGTGTAAAATGCAATATTCTGTATTATTTATAGTGTAATATGTATTATAACACATGCAAATATAATTTGAAAAGCATATGAAATTATAAGAAATTGATGACATCAGTAGTAAATAATCATTTTGCGCGATACGTTGAATTTTGTTCAGTTTTTTAATTATATTTTTTAAACATTTCTATTAATTTTTAATTTTTATAAAATAGTGCTTAAAATTATTAATGCGAAACAAATTGTTTTAGTAAAAATGCGATTAATTGATTTATTATATTTTTATTTGTTTTTTGTAATACGCTTAGGTTTGTTTAAAAGGATTCTTCTTAAGATCCATGAATATTACTCATGATTAATTTTTAATAAAAATGTTGAAATCTTTTTAGTTTCTGCCTCCAAAATAATATTTCCAACGGTTGATGATTTTCCACTGGATTGCAAAATTGATAATAATACTTGGGGTGTTTGTGTGAATATTAAAAATTGTACTTCTGCTTGGACTGTACCAAATAGTGAAGTGAAAACATGCTACTTTTTGCAGTCAGAGCAAATCGTTTGTTGCAACTTGTTTGAAATGGATGAATTGAAAGGCAGCACAGACCGTAATGCTGTAGAAGGTAATTATATTCTAAGGAATTCAGTAATGTATATATATGAAAAAATTTTATTTTTAATAGTGTGCGAAGGTTATTATCCAGACGCACCGTCTATTCTTTCTGGTTCAAAGACTGAACACATGGAGTTCCCATATATGGTTAAACAAATATTTATCTAATACTATTTATTTTGAAATTGTCACAATTTTTAAAATCTTTAGGCAGCACTTGGCTGGAAATCAAATGTAAATAACAGTACAGATTATAAATGCGGAGGAGTTCTAATCTCAGCTCAATTCGTTCTATCTGCGGCACATTGTACCGACTTTAATGGGTAATTCTTACCATACCATTTATTATTAATTTCCATAAAAATTTCTTGATTAACTTATTTTAGTGATGAACCTTCAATCGTTGTGCTTGGCGGTGTAAACTTAAGTGAGGATAATTATACAGAGTACAAAATCGTTGAAGTAATATCGCATCCGTTATATGATCCGGAATTTTCTTATAATGATATAGCATTGTTAAAAATAGAAAAAGAAAAAAGTTTGTGAGTATTTATCTAAATTAAATAATATGCAACTTATGTCTCATTATTAATTAAATATTTGTATACAAATAGCTTTTTAGAGGTTCTAAGTTATATTTCTCTTTTTTTGTGCAAAATAATTACTTGCTTTGTAATTACAGAGGAATTAAATTTAAGCATTTTTAAATGAAATTATACGTTTATTGAAATTTATTTTGCTTAAAGTCGTTATCCAATTGCTTGTCTTTCCTCTTCCGCCATTGATGTGGAAACTGTGACTGTGATCGGCTATGGAAATACACGCTTTGGTAGACTTTAATTTTTGTTATAAATGTATGATAATGCTATATATACATATTTTTAAAGCTGGAAATCAATCTTCACATCTCTTAAAAGCTAACTTGAGTATTATATCGAATAAAGATTGTCAACATTTTTATATAGATGAAGACAATTTACCAAAAGGTATTGTTGATCAACAAATTTGCGCGAAGGACCCTGAAAATAAACGAGATGCTTGTCAGGTAAATAGTTAACGTATTTATTTCATATAACATCAAATTTCTAAGGATTTATTTAAAAATCAAGAAAAAAAAACAGTTTTGACTTTAAGGAAATTTCAATATTCTTCACCTTTAGAGTTAAATAGCAAATAATTTGGAGAGATTAAGGTCAAAATTGCAGTTTACTAAAAAATATTTAAAAATAAATTATTTATTAAAAATATAATATAATTTATATTAAAATCATAATATATTTCTAGGGCGATTCTGGTGGTCCGCTTATAGCAAAAGTAAAAGGGAGGATAAGAATACGACCTTATGCAATAGGTTTAGCTTCAGTTGGACATGGTTGTGGTGGTCAACCGCCTGGTGTTTATATTCGTTTGTCAGAATACTTTGATTGGATTGAATCAATTGTTTGGAAAAGTAGAAATAAAACAGTTTCTTAAAAATATGATTAAAATTAAGAAAGGAAAACAGTTTTTATTTGTTTTTAATAAATCGTAGAAACTAAATTTATTAAATGATGTTTAAATCTTTGCGTTGTCATAAAAGTTAGTAACTTTATAGGATGTATATTGTTTGTATACCTACGTAGACGAGATTTTGGCAGTATAATGTGTAAGTTTGAGATTTAAGTATTCTCAGAAAATCTTGAAAAAGTAATGTCAAAAAAGTAATATATGAAGTATAAACCATATTTCTACATATTCGAAATAATAGAATGTTTCAGTATTAAAATATAAATATATTTAATATATTTATATATAATATATATATATATTATATATATATAAATATATTAAATATATATAAATATAAATATATGTATAAATATGTTAGAATTGTTAGAATCACCAAAAACATGTGTTTACTTTATGAACGTTTTATTAAGACTGAAAGAATATAGAGAAATAGAAATTTACATTTTTACAAACTAAAGCAAGGATTACATAGATGAGACAGATACTATGCGTTGATATTTAACAAAATATATATATTATATTTAAATATATTTTAAGCAGAAGCCTGGCTTACGTTTTCGTTTGAGGTACATATTAAAAAAAAGCATTCTGTAAACAGTTACTGAAAGTTTCATATATATATTGAACAGGTATAGTAAACTTAACAATACATAGCGATCCAGTGAAATGTAGGTGTATCTTTGAAATCACCATAACAATCCAATCTAATTTTACTAGCAGTAATGCATATAAATATTTTGTGTATATATTATATATATAAATGATATGCCCCATATCTTAAATATATCTATGAAATAAAGGTAGAGTATTAGATAAAACCAATACATTAACTTTATTTTGTCTGCGAAAATCCAAAGAAATTTTATCTCTTAAGATTTGTAATTTTTCTATAAAAATCTTAATAAAGTTTTATTTTTATAACAGACAAGTCTTTCGATTAATACAATATTGCTTTTAAAAAATATTTATGTGAATTTTTTTGTTTTTCTGAATGAATTGGATTATACAATTTTTAGGGAAAACCTATCTAACTTAATTTTAGATTATTAATCTTTAAAAATAAATAAACATCAGTAAATACATCACTCAAGTATTTTTAATCTATTAGTTAAATTGTTAGTATGAAATGAGCATTGTTAGTGATAAGATGAATTACATTTAATTAAATTGAATTAATTTTATTTGTTTTTACTGTTGCTTTGATTAAGTTTTGCTTGTTTATATTCTAAAGAAAATAAAATACACGGATCATTGCAATAAATTTTTAAAAAATAAGGAAACAGTGTTTAAGTATTAATTTTAAATGTTTTAGGTTTTATTATTTATTATTAGCTTTTATTGCTTAATTCTAACAGTTTTTGTATATTGTGTATGGATATTGGAACCTCATTCTCTGGCTATTCTTGTCCTTGGTTCTTCTTATTTTGGTGTCATTGATAGTTGCAGATTGAACGGTTATTAAATTTTGTGTCTATATGGTATGTCGATGTATTCACGCCTACATTGGATTTGTTGTGAAGAATGTCGACATAGTCACGCGTACATAGGCTTTGTTGTGAAGAATGTCGACATAGTCACGCCTATATAGGATTCAGTGGGAAGGCTGTCGACATATACACGCCTATACGAGATTTAAAGGTAAGGATGTTATTCAGTATATTTATATATATATTTGTGTTCTCAATACTTAGCTTCGCTGGTAATTTCCTGTGGTGTGCTTGCGATTTCTTCGAAAGTTAAAGTCCAAGTGCCTCTGGTGTACTTGCGATGTTTTCCAAATCTAATAAAAGTCCAAGCTCAGTACAAATGCGTCGATGTTGCGTGATTTGTGTTACGCTTGCCTTGGGTAGTGATGCTGTCTCTGATGGTGCAATTCTATTTATTACTGCTGTTGTTTGCTTAGCTATCGACTGGTTGTGTTGCTGGTTACTTTGCTGCTGATTCAGGATGAACTATAACAATAAACTAGACTATGTATAACTTCATCTCGAATTCGTGCAGTGGATACGAGTCTCATTGTATACTGAGATGGCATCGTTTGTGGGAACTTAACTTCTATGCACCTGCTGATATTTATTTCTTGAACACGGTCCCGACTCAATTTATGCTGTTCAGCATGAAGTTCTTTGAAGACGTCAGTAAGTATTGTATATTCTTTCAAGTTCATGTAATCTCGACGCTTAAGGTGCATTTGGTTGTCTGCGCGCATGTTTCGATGTATTCGCTTTAATGTGAATCTTCATTCAGGCAAACTCGTCGCATTAGATTTTGAATGCCGATTAAATAATCTTTGAATTTTTCCTTTGATTTATGAAATCGCTATCGAACCTCAACCTCAAATTTTTTGAAATATTTAGAGGAAAGGAAAAAGTTTAGGAAGTCGACGTTGAAACTTGTCCAGAGCTACCAATGCTTATTATTATTCCGATACCATATTAGTGCCTTGTCTTTGATAAGTATAGCCATCGTTGTGGGAACTAGATTTACATCGATGCTATAAATGTCTGCTAGTTCAAATATTCTTTCCACGAAAGCTAATGGATGATTAACTCCGTCGTATTATACGAACCACTTTCTTATCTATTTCATGATTTAAACAGACGATGATGCAATGGTCGGCTTGGTGTAGATCTTATTATGTGGTAATGTTAGCTTGTGTCATTGATTCTGAGAATTCAATTATTTATTTGCATCATCATTTATTTCTCCTTACGTATTCTTCCTGTTTGTTCTTGGAGGTTTTAGCGAGTTAGTTGACTTTGGCTAATATTTGCCTTTCTTGATTTAAAAACTCAAACATTGACTCTGCCCGCGTGCTAATTTTAACGACCATGAGGTCAAGTAATTTAATAATATTTTGTTTTGTATTTGTAATACAACAACGTTTGTCTAAAAATTACTTAACAAACAATGGTGAGTAAAATAGATATTATATTTAGTACCTGCATTTACTGCAGGAAATGACGAAGTGAAAACTTACTACTTTGAAGGATCGAAACAATTTCTTTGCTCTGGCAATAGTTCTTTTCTTAAATATCGCAAAGAGCTTAGTTCTACAAGAGATAGGAAATATATATCAAATATTTAGTTCAATATTCATTCTCTTTTCAGAATGTGAAGATTTCTGTCCACCACTCTATTATATAGTTCTGGGTACCATGACAGAGAATGTGGAGTTTCCCTGTGTAGATAGACTATTGTTTATAATAACTTTTTTTAATATATGATTTATTATCACTTTATTTAATTTAGTTGCATATTATAATATATTTTTAATTTATTTTTTAAATGTTTGTAGTGGTCTAAATTTGATTACTTACAGATTTTTGTTTTAATGTTGCATGAAAATGATAAAAGCAATTGAATTTCTCAAATTTATAGACAGTTAAAGATAATGACATAATAATATATACATAATTAAGCCATTTTAAAATTTCATATATAGGGTCATTATTTTTTATGTATATTTAGTATTAGATACTGGTTAAAATTAAATTAATTTTAATTCAATCTAGGAAAATACAATCAATCGGATAAGTGGCACAAATTCAAACGAAATTAAAAATATTATTAAAATTTTATTTTAACAGCAACAAATTTAATAATATAATTTATCACAAAATTATATTTAATATTAAAATATTTAATGAAACATTTTTATAAATCTAAAAATGAAATTAATATTAAATTCAAATACAAGAACCTGAAGCTTATAAAACAGATTTAGTACAGATGTTAATAATCGTAATGTGAGACATAATCCGAAATCTGTTCTAATAGTATTTTTTGATTTTTTTATATATTAAATTATATCATTTAAGTAACTAGTAAAACTTTAAAAGTACTGAAAGTATTTGTAAATAAGGATATTTCGATATGTAGTTAATATATATTAAATAAATTATTATATATATGTGCAATATATGTAGTATTATAAGGTTGTATATATTTCTCATTAAATTATATAGCTGAAATACATATAAAGTACACTATTTATTTGAATTAATAAAGAAAAAACTAACAAAGTAATTTTCAGTGCTTTAATATAAGTTTTAAAGATCTGCTTTCATACGCTTAGGAGATAGCTTATACTGGTCCTCATGTGATGGTCTTGATGATAACTAATTTTTCAGTTACAAATTTCATTAAAGTAGTTGAACAGAATCTCTTAAAAGACAAAGAATATGAGAGGACTTGTAGTAGATGCATGGCGTTATGTCTCAAATAATTTGTTCTCCACGGTGAATGTGTATTATTCTGCACAACTTTTCAAAATATAATTTATTTATCAATTTTAAAAGCATATGAAATTATAAGAGATTTATAACATCAGTAGTAAATAATCATTTTGCGCGATAAGTTGAATTTATTTTAATTTTTTGATTATTTTTTTAAAACATTTTTATTAATTTTTAAATTGTATGAAATAGTGTTATTTATTTTAAACATAACGAAAATTGCATTTACTAAAAATGAGATCAATTGATCCATTATATTTTAGTTTGGTTTTTGTAATACGCGGAGGTTTGCTTGAAGAAATTCTTCTAAAGATCAATAGATAAGAAAATGTTGAAATCTTTTCAGTTTTTGCCTCCAAAATAATATTTCCAACGGTTGATGATTTTCCACTGGATTGCAAAATTGATAATAATACCTGGGGTCTTTGCGTGAACATTAAAAGTTGTGCTACAGCTTTGACTGTACCAAACAGTGAAGTGAAAACATGCTACTTTTTGCAGTCAGAACAATTTGTTTGCTGCAAAGATTTTGGAGGGGATGAATTGAAAACAGAAAGAAAATATAGAGCTTTAAAAGGTATATACATTTTTAAGCATCCGGTAATATGTCATATGTACACGAAAAAAATTTAATTTTGAATAGAGTGCGAAGACTTTTATCCGGACGCAGATTATGTTCTTCGTGGTACGCAAACCAAACCCAAGGAGTTCCCATACATGGTTGTACATTTATTTATTTAAATTTTAAAAATATTTTCTTGATTTACACCGGGCTAAGGTTGTTTTTTAACACGTAAAAATTATAAAAAAATTATAAATTATAAAAAAAATTTTCTCTATTTTTTTGTTTAAATTTTTATAATATAGATATTTTGGTCTTCGTAGACCATCTTCAGTGTACATAAACCCAAAACAGAAATGTTTTTTTTCCCCTTTTTTTCGAAGTATACCGAAATGTGAAAATAAAAAAACTTATTTATAAAATTGGTCGTATTAACAATTATTATTAGCAACTACACGGAATTATTAATAATAATTATTAATAATTATTTTAAAAAATTGATTTAATGAGTTTATATAATATATTTAAATCTTCGTAGGTAGCACTTGGCTGGAAATCAAATGAAGGTAACAGTACAGATTATAGATGCGGAGGAGTCTTAATCTCATCTGAATTCGTTCTAACTGCGGCACATTGTACTGAATTTAATGGGTAATTCTTTCCAAACCTTTTATTTTTAATTTCTATTAAAATTTCTTACCTAATTTATTTTAGTCGTCCGCCATCAGTGGTTGTGCTTGGTGGTGTAAATTTAAGTGAGGATGATTATACAAAATACAATATCACTAAAGTAATATTGCATCCTTTATATGATCCGGAATTTTCTTACAATGATATAGCATTGTTAAAAATAAAAAAAGAAAAACATGAGTGAGTGTTTAAGTAAATTAAATGATATGCAACTAATGTCTGAGTATTTATTAAACATTTATATACAATTAGTTTTTTAGCGTTAATTATTTGCTTAGTGATTTCAGTAAGAACTAAATTTAAGCACATTTAAACGAATTTAGAATTATTGCAGTTTGTTAAAATCTATTTTGCTTAAAGTATTCATCCAATTGCTTGTCTTTGGACTTCTTCCGACATTAATGTGGACACTGTGACTGTGATCGGGTATGGAAATACACGCTTTGGTATATTTCAATATTTGTTATAAATATAGGATAATGCTATATGTAAACATTTTTATAGTTGGATCTCAATCTCCACATCTCTTAAAGGCAGACTTAGATATTATACCAAATAAGGATTGCCAAAGTTTTTATATAGATGAAGACAACTTACCAAAAGGTATTCTTGATCAACAAATTTGTGCGAAAGACCCTGAAAATAAACAAGATGCTTGTCAGGTAAATAAGTAATTATCGTATTTATTTTATATAACATCATTATAAGAAGTTATTTCAAAATCAAATAAAAAGTAACAGTTTTAACTTTAAGGAAATTTCAATATCCTTAACTTATAAAGTTGAATAACAAATAATTTCGAGAGACTAAGATCCAAACGTCACTTTAACAAATAACTCATAAAAAATAATTATTTATATAAAATGTAATATAACTTATTTTAAAACCATAATAATATCTTCAGGGTGATTCTGGTGGTCCGCTTATAACAAAAGTGCGACGGATGGTGGTTGTACGACCTTTTACATTTGGTATAACTTCCGTTGGACAAGGTTGTGGTGGTCAGACGCCTGGTGTCTATATGCGCGTGTCAGAGTTCGTTGATTGGATTGCAGCAATTGTATGGTCAAATTTAGATAACGTAAATATGATTATTACCGAATATAGTCAAATATAATAGATTAAAAATTTTTTTGTTTTAATAAATCGAATAAAGTTGTTTAATAAAATGCAAAGGTGTATTTCATGATGTGTTACTAACACATCAATGTATTTAATGTAATGCGTTATTAAATATAGAGGACTGTATGAATTAATAATTAAAGGAAGAATATCACACGATTTGTTGTTGTTTTTACAAGTGAACACTCAAGAAAAGCAACGAATACTGCTGCAATAAATGTATGCTATTTGCTGCGCATCTCTGATCTATAGTACTGAACCCGATCAAACTACAACCGCTAGAACCGATATTTATACAGATATATATTTATTAAATTATATATTTTGACAGCCAGGTATTGCAATTTAATGAAGCATTGCGCAGTTTGTTATATGTAAAATTTGAAAACTACCTTCAAATTTTATATGTGGAAGTTTTATATATTCACATGAAGTAATCTTTTATTAATAAGTTTTTAAAAACACATCAGTATATACTTTTTCGAATATACTAATGTATCAGTATTATGGCTTCTTTAACAATACAGCTTGAAAATTTGAAATGTTGATCAGCTCGAAATCAATTTTGAGTTCCTGATAGTTTTAAGTTTTTCTAGTACTACCTCAAGGTAGTATTCTATAACTTTATATTTGGCACAGAAATATCAGATAACCCATATATCATTGCTCAGTATATGTTTATGTAAAAATTTATTTATTATATGCGGTTTTCATTGAATTGTAACTTAATAAAAACAAGGAAATTTTTTTATGGTATAGATATTTTAAAAATGTACTTTTCCCATTAAAAGCTTTATGAAGCTTTCGTTCCAATTTTATAACAAAAAAATTTTTTTTTTATATGTGCATTTCTTATAATTCATTTTTTCACGTTAATGTGCATACTAAAATAAAATATATTTTAAGTTAAATGTATTTTAAGTTAAAATTATTTTAATTTAAATTAGGAAAATGTAAATTATCGCATTCAAATTTAAATGAAATGAAAATATTGTTGAAAATTCAATTCAACAGCAGTAAATTTAATAAAGTATATTAATGAAACTCTAATAAAGAATTAATACAAGTTTTGAATACATAAACTTAAAACTTATAAAAGGGACTTAGTGACTTTTTTCGTCATCAAGTTTGGGTTCAGGTTTTCATTTCTTATAGCCATTCTGGGAATCGGTTTACGCTTCAGGTACAATGAGTGATCGGTCCGTTGTTCTCTTTATAAGTGTTTATCTTATATTATTCCCGTAACGAGTAAAGGGTAAAATTTTAAATATCTTTAAAAAATCATAGTTCACCATATAGTTAATACATGTATATTAAATAAATTATTATAAATGCAACATAAGTATTATAAGGTTATGTTGTATAATGCTATATACATATATATATATATATATATATATAAAATAAACTATCCATTTAAATTAATAAAAAAAGAACTAGCAGAGTGCTTTTCAGAGCTTTAATATCAGTTTAAAAGATCTGCCTCCATACGTTTAGGAGAAAGATTATCTTGGTACCTCATTCGTAGGTCTCAACGATAACCAATTTTTAGGTACGAATTTCATTCAAGAAGTTGAATAGAATCTTTTAAAAGACAAAGAATATGAGAGGATTTGTAGTAAATGCATGGCGTTATAAGTCTCAAATTATCTGTTCTCCGCGGTGAATGTGTATTATTCTGCACAACTTTTTAAAATATAATTTATTTATCAATTTGAAAAGCATATGAAATTCTAAGAGATTTATAACACCAGTAGTAAATAATCATTTTGCGTGATAAGTAGAATTTTGTTCAGTTTTTTAATTATATTTTTTAAACATTTTTATTAATTTTGAATTTTTATGAAATAGTGTCATTTAGTTTTAACAGAACGAAAATTGCATTTATTAAAAATGAGATTAACTGATTTATTATATTTTAGTTTGGTTTTTGTAATATGCGGAGGTTTGTTTGAAGGAATTCTTCTAAAGTTCAATGAATAAAAAATATGTTGAATTCTATTTAGTTTCTGCCTCCAAAATAATATTTCCAATCGTTGATGATTTTCCACAGAGCTGTAAAATTGATAATAATACCTGGGGTCTTTGCGTGAACATTAAAAGTTGTGCTACAGCTTTGACTGTACCAAACAGTGAAGTGAAAACATGCTACTTTTTGCGGTCAGAGCATTTTGTTTGCTGCAAAGATTTTGGAGGGGATGAATTGAAAAGACTTAAGAAGAATAGAGCTTTAATACGTAAATATATTTTTTAGAATCCGGTAATATGTTATGTATAAAAGAAATTTGATTATTAATAGAGTGCGAAGACTTTTATCCGAACTACGCGTATGTTGTTTATGGTTCAATGACTAAACCCAAGGAGTTTCTATACATGGTTATACATTTATTTATATAAATTTTTTTTTGATTCTCATCGGGTTTAAGACGCTTATTTAACACATTAAAATGATAATAAAATTACACTTATTAATTTTTTTGTTTTAAATATTAATAACACAAATATTTTGAGCTTCGTAGATCATCTTCAATTTACATAAGCAAAAAAAAGAAACCTTTTTTTGTTGAAGTATGCCGAAATATCTGTATTTTAGATTTTTTTTTAAAGTATAATAAAAAAACTTTAATATAAGTTTATAATTATAATTTTGTTATCATTTCTCTGTACTAAGTAAACTATGTAAGCCTGGTGAACATCAAACCACTTTTTGTTAAAATTGGTTGTATTAATTATTTTTCACAATCGTACATAATTATTATTAATACGTACAAGTATTAGCAATCGCCTTAAAAGTTACTTAAAAAAATTGATTGAATGAGTTTATATAATTTTTTTAAATCTTCGTAGGCAGCACTTGGCTGGAAATCAAATGAAGGTAACAGTACAGATTATAGATGCGGAGGAGTCTTAATCTCACCTCAATTCGTCCTAACTGCGGCACATTGTACAGAATTTAATGGGTAATTCTTTCCCAACCATAAATTATTAATTTCTATCAGAAACTCTTGTTTAATTTATATTAGTCATCCACCTTCAGTGGTTGTGCTTGGTGGTGCAGATTTAACTGACAATAAATTTACAAATTTTGATATCACTAAAGTAATACCGCATCCATTGTATGATCCGGAATTTTCTTATAACGATGTAGCATTGCTAAGAATAGTAGAAAGTAAATATTTGTGAGTGTTTGACAAAATAATTATTTGCTTAGTGATTAAAATATGAATTTAATTCAATCATTTAAAAATGTGTTGAACTTTAAAACAGATTTTTTTTAAATTATTTTGCTTAAAGTCGTTTCCCAATAGCTTGTCTTTGGATCACTTTTAACATTGATGTGGAAACTGTGACTGTGATCGGCTATGGAAATACACGCTTTGGTAGATTTCAATATTTAAATGTTTGTTATAAATACAAGATAATGCTATATGTAAATATTTTTATAGTTGGAACTCAATCTCCACATCTGTTAAAGGCAGACTTAGCTATTATGCCAAATAAGGATTGCCAAAGTTTTTATATAGATGAAGACAATTTACCAAAAGGTATTCTTGATCAACAAATTTGTGCGAAAGACCCTGAAAATAAACGAGATGCTTGTCAGGTAAATAACATATTTACCTATTTATTTATAACATCATTAAAAGAATTTATTTAAGAATCAAGAAAAAAAAACCGTTTTGACTTAAAAATGTTTCAATATCTTTAACTTATAGAATTGAATAACAAATAGTTTTAAGAGATTTATGTCCAAACATCATTTTAACAAATAATTTATAAAAAATAATTATTTTTAATTTTATATGATTATTTATTATATGTATAATTATATAATTATTTATAATAATAATTATATCTTTAGGGCGATTCTGGTGGTCCGCTTATAGCAAAAGTACGAATGATGTCGGATATACGACCTTATGTTATAGGTATAACTTCCGTTGGGCATGGATGTGGTGGTGAATCGCCTGGTGTTTATATGCGCGTGTCAGAGTTCTTGGATTGGATCCTAGCAATTGTCTGGTAGAGTTGAGTTTATGTTAAAACAATTACTTAAAAACATAATTAAATTTGTTAGATAAAACAGTTTTTTGTTTCAATAAACCGTATAAAATAAATCAACTAAACTCTATGTATTGCCATTCCTAAATAAGTTAGTTATTAGATATTATATGTATTATATTTAACGTATTTGAATTTATGGCAACTATTTTTAGTCTATCGTGTAAAATGTAAAAAATCAGTAATGCTTAAAATGTAAATCATTTTTCTATGTTGCCGAAATAGTGCAATATTTTAGTGTAACTTTATATATATTTTATGTCATATTTATGCAGAAACCAGACCTTCGTTGGTATTTTAGGAACACTTTTGAATAATTTAATAATGTTATAATTCGTCAGCATTCTGGAATTAATTACTAAAATTTTAATATACAAATATTAAACATGTAAGTAAAAGATGGGAAGGTTGGACGATATGCAAATACTTTTATGTACGAAAACTAGACACTAGTGGGTATTCTGATGGGTTACTGTTAGTCACGAAACAAAACCAGAAAATTGAATAATTGAGTATTCTTGTCAAAACTGTGAAAAAGTTGAAGAAAGTGTTTTATATATGTCTTGTTATTGACCCAGACCATCCATGGAATAGTAACTTGTGGTAGATATTATATGAAGCTCTTGGAAATGTAGCTAACAAATATAAGAATATTTCTAGCATCACCATGATACCCTAACCTCATCTTACAGTATATATATATATAAATATATATATATACATTTGTAAACAGATGTATTCTATATCTAACATAACATAACATAACATAAATAAATGTTATAAAGAAAAAGAAATAAAAGCACAGCATTATATCAAACCAATATAAAAGTTTTCTTTTATATGTATATTAATGCAAAAATTTTTTATTTTAAACTTTATTATAAAGCTTTTCCTATAAAAAGCTCAATAAAAGGTTAATATTTTTATAGAAAGCTCAATAAAGCTTTATTTTTATAGTAAGACAAGTTTTATTGATAAGTATAATACTGCTTTTAAAATTTCTTTGCGTAGTAAAAAATTAGAAGATTTTACTTTACTTTTTCTATATGCAGAATACAACAACAAAATAAAAGTAATTTTATACATTTGGTTTTACACAATTTTTGGGGAAAATGTATCTGAACTTGATTTTAGATGTTTAATCTTCAAAAATAAATCTTGATGATAATCAAATGCATTTTCATTCGCTGTGAATTAAAATTTTTTGTTTTCATTTGGAAACCACTTAAGTATTTTTAATCTGTAATGTTAGTATAAAATGAGCATCGTTAGTGATAAGATGAATTCTATTTAATTAAATTAAATTAATTTTATTTGTTTTTTATTGCTGATTTGATTAAGTTTTGATTGCTTATATTATAAAGAAAGTAAATAAGATTTTACAAATGTGGTCAAGTGATTTAATAATTTTTTGTTTCGTATTTGTAATACAAGAAGGTTTGTCTAGAAGGACATTATTTAACTACCAAAGATCACTAAAATAGCTATTCTATTTAGCTATTAGTTCGAAAATATTATTTCCCCAAATTGATGACTTCCCAGACGAATGCAAAGCTTTTGATGGCAGTGACGGAGTTTGTCTAAATATAAAATTATGTCCACATGCATTTACTGCAAGAAATGATGAAGTGAAAACCTGCTACTTTCAAAGATCGGAACAGTTTGTTTGCTGTAGTGATAGTCCTTTTTACAATCTCAAAGAACGTAAATCTACAAGAGGTACAAACATAAATAAAAAATTTGGTTGGTTCAATATTTAATAATTCATATATCGTAATACTTTTTAGAATGTAAAGATTTTTATCCAATGCGCTTTGATATGGTTATGGGTATTATGACACAACGTGCTGAGTTCCCGTATATGGTGTGATTATTGTTTTTATTTATTTTACTTATACGTTTCACATACGTACATATCTAAATTTGCAGAAGTAAACAAATTTTTCTTTATAATTTTTTGAAGGCAGCAGTTGGTTGGGAATCACAAGTGACAAATATTACTGATTACAGATGTGGCGGTGTCATGATCTCAAATGATTATATTTTAACTGCAGCACATTGCACTGATTTCAATGGGTAATGCATTTATTATATTCTTTGACTTTATTTGATTTAATGTTATGTTATTATATTATTTTAGGATGTTATATATTTTATAAAGAGGTTTTTAAGACAGTAGTGAACTACATCAACAAAAATTAATTTTATATTATTTTAATTAATTGAATTTTTGACTGACTATCTTATTTAATTTGGTTTTATTTACATAACATTGCATTAGTATTATTTAATATTGTACTAATATTGTACATATATTAGTTCAATAATTTTTTTTAATGAAAATTATAGTTTAATTATTTTATTTATTTCATTTTATATTTTTATGTTATGTTGATTTTTAACTATTCTATAATTTTATTTCATATCATTATACTGATATGTATATATATTAATTATAATAATAATTTCATATCTTTTTGTTTTAATTTTATCTAATCTTATCTTATCATTTGCTTAATTCATTCAAATTTTTTCTATTATATTATATTAATTTATATATATTATTTAATATAAGTTTATTTTATTTTTTTTTAATACAAATATTGAAGTGTTAATTATTGTTACTTATTTCAATTGATCGGATTTTATTTTCATTTGGTTTTATTTAGTATTGTTTTATTTTATTTTATTTAACTTATTTTATATGATCGTCAGCAATTGCAGAGCAGACGCGCTGGCCAGAAAGGGGGCTTCAGTAGCTCACTCGGAACATCTAAGTAATCTGAGCATTTCGCTAACGTTATGCCAACTTCTACTGAGTTCTTTCTGTGCTGAAATTTTAAATAAAACATGGGAAGACTCAACGATTTGTAGTCATCTGTGTGCAATCTGGCCAAGTTCCGATAAAAGAAATTTAAATTCTTATTGAGATACCCCGTAGAGAATTTTGTTTTTTGATAGGTTTACTAACAGGTCACTGTAAACTAGAGAATCATGCTAGCAGATTAAACTGTCGTAGCTGTGGGGAAGACGATGAGAGTGCCTCTCATCTACTATGTTTTTGCCCAGCTAATGCACGGCGGCGACTCAACATTATAGGAGCCCCGTTTTTTTTACGATTTTGATCAATTACAAGAGCTGACACTAAATAACATTTCAGGCTTCGCCAAAGATTCTAGGTGGTTTTAAGTTTTTCCTTTATATATGGTAATGGACCAATAGGTCTAAGTGCATCCACCAGAGATCGCCGGTATAATCTAAACTAACCTACATTATTGTATTTTATTTATATAATTTTTCAATGTTATTTTAATTAATGATAAATATTTTTATATATGTATGGTATATTGTCATTTAATTTTTTAATTCAAGTTAAAATAATTTATTTAACATTATTTAATTAATTGAATTAAATAGTTTTGAACGTATTTTCTATTTTTAAAAACTTTTCAATTGTGTCTTATATTTTTTTAATTTATTTGAACTGATTTTGTTTAATATAAGTTTGTACAATTAAATGTCACTTTATTTTATATGATTTTATTTAATTTATATTTTTAATTTGTTTTAATTTTTGTAGTGATCCACCTTCAGTTGTTGTTCTTGGTGGTGTGAATTTGAGTGAAGATAATTATACAAAACATATAATCTCTGAAGTAATACCGCATCCAGCTTACGATCCTAATTTTGCTTACAATGATATTGCATTATTAAAACTAAAGAAATCAGTTTAGTAAGTATGACATAAAACTTTTTTACTTAAGAACTTGATTAACTTGTAATTCAAACGTTTTCAATAGATTATGATTATGCTCATTAATGTTATATTAATTTATATAACACATCATTTTTAATTAATTGATTAAATATTTACTTTGTAACGAATTAGAATGTAAATTAAAATACATTAATTTTTAATTTTATAAATTTTATATATAATATTTTCAATTTCTTCAAGCGGTTCTGATAAAGCCTGCCTCTGGAATTCTTTTGCTCTAAGTAAAACCAATGTTACTGCAATCGGTTATGGACACACGCGGTTTGGTAGGTTCCATAAGGTTAAATAAATATTTGTTAATATATGAGATCTTCTTATAGGTGGTTCCCCATCTTCTCATCTTTTAAAAGCATATTTAACAGTTCAGTCTAAAAAGGACTGTCAAAAACACTATGATGATGAATATAATATACCAAAAGGCATTACTGATCAACAAATTTGTGCAAAAGATCCTGAAAATATTAGGGATACATGCCAGGTTAGTTAAAAACTTATGCAATCTAATGTGATTAATACTACGAAGAAAAATGTTAGAAGATTTTTAAAAAATCATAATTTTTGATCTAGAAATTTGTGTTCCATAACAAAAAATCCATTTCAAATTGAAAATAGGTAAAAGTGAAGAAATGTTCAAATTCGAGAAAATTTATCATTTTTAATGAAGTGCAGACTTGACCATACAGACATCGCATTATATCTATGCAGCCATATTGGTTATATTGTCCATATATAATTTTTGCATTGCGAGTATCAGTGATTGAGTGTTGAAATTTGAAACAACAACAATTTACAATAATAGAGTTAGTTTATATAGCTATAGTTTATACGTTAGTTATAATTAATAACACACTAAGCATAATCGTTGTTTATGAATCATCCACAAAAATAAAGTACAGTCTTAATTTGAATCATGTCTATTAAGTGAGGGTGAGTTTAGTGTATTAATAAACGGATCCATGGTTCAAATTTAATAAATTTTGATAGATTTCTAACTTTTGCAGTTCAAATATTATATAGAAACTAATTATTGTTCTCAAATACCACTAATAATAAATATATGGCAATATAACAGCTGTATGCTCAGCCCTAGAAGCTTTATTTTAATAAATCATATATATATGTAACATATATGTAAGCAAATTTGATTAAATCTGAGTCATTTTTTTTATATTTCCTTGTTTATGAATAGATAGAATAGAAAAACTAATATTTTTATATAATGAATGAACTAACTATAGACAAGAGTGGATTGGTTTCCCTACTGTCCAAAAAATAAATAAAATTGAAAAATTTTTGATCCAGCTGAAAAAGTTGATTGATTAATTAAAATTAAATTAAGATAAAATTTATGGTTTGGTTAGTATACCAAAAAGATAATTGATTTTATGAACATTTAATATTTTCTATAACTATCGATTGTTGATCTTGATACTTATTTATTTTACTCTAAGAAGTGCCAATAAATTGAAATGAGAGAATGAGTCGGTTTAATTAAGAAATTTGATGAAGAATTGCCATAGTGCTGCGTTAATACAAGTCTGTGATTACTTATTAAATCTAGTAGATACTAGCAGATTTTTAAAATATAACAGAGACGGCTTATTTAACTGAATTTCTTTAATTGAATTCAGGAATTTATTTTCATCATGTGATAATAAGCATAAAGTTTTTCTTTAATTAGTTATATGTGCTCTATGACATATGTATCTATATTTGGTATAGATTAATAAAGTTTAATATTGACTAAATTAATGTTTGGTTAAATTATCAACATACATTATTTAACTATATTTTTCACTATAAATTCGAACTAAGAACTTCAGAAGAACGTTGTACTTTGGACTTTACTACTAAGTCAGTACAGTAAGCATATTAATCTGTTTTTCAATTTTATGTAGTTGTGATAGTTGAGCGTGACTTTCAAAACCATTTCTGAAAACAATTATGGTTACTATATTTTCAAGTTTTTCTCAGGAACCTGTGTAGTTCTTTTTAAAATAATTAGAGAGCAAAGGAGGAGTGGGTCATGGATTTATGATATAGCCTAATAATTCAAATCAGTATATCCCATTAATAAATAATTTAAAATTTTTAGAAATAAATAATGCGCTCTCCATTAAGCAATAGACAGATTAGAAATTTCTTTAAGAATTCATTATATTTTTTATTATTTGCTAGATAAGTTTCATCGCTCTTGATAAAAGTGTAAGACAGAATTATTAGTTTTTCAAATTCTCATTATCTCATTGTCTCGGTGAGAGGATAGGTTTCATATAGTGTTATATAAGCACAATTTGTTATAACAACATTTATAAATGATTATTGTTCTTTGATAAAAATCTTTATTTTCTAATATTAAATTCAGTTCACTTCAAGCTAAGGTGTTAGGTATTCATACATATATTGATGTATATATATACATCAATCGGTACACATAATTTATTGCTCGTGAACCATAAAATAAAAGCCTTAAATTTTGGATAATGATTAATGATTGTTAAATAGGTTTTGGTGTGATTGCGATATTTTAGTTTGTCTTTAGTAAATTTTGTGTAGAGTTATCTTTGAAGATTTTGGGATTTAGTCCCCAGTGCTAAACAAAACTCTACTTATTCCTTTAATTTTAAAAATAACTTCTTAAGGTTAAACACGTTACTCTCATGTTGTGCGAATTCAACTAAATTTAGAAATGTTGGAGTTACAGAGTAGTGAAGCTATAAATAATATCTATATAGTTTTTGAAACGTCAACTTATTTTTAATAATGCTATTTTCCACAGCTATCGTAAGCTAATTTTAGTAATTATTCAATAATGCTACTATTCATATATATCATAAGCTAATTCCAATCATTATTCCTATATTATAAATATGGTATTATGAAAGTATAATTAATTTAATGAAATGCTAAGATTTGGATTGAAACTTGTATTTCTGACTCAAAAGCTAATTTTAAATTTGTTATGAAATATAATAGCAACAAATGTAATAATTTTTTTTTCGATGTACTATTTTCTTCCAGGGTGATTCCGGTGGTCCAATTTTAATACACGCAATGTTAGAAAGCAGATATGTACCTTACGTAGTAGGCATTACTTCGTTTGGACAGGGCTGTGCTGGTGAGCCACCAGGTGTATACACTCGAGTATCGGAGTATATTGACTGGATTGAAACTACTGTTTGGCCCAATTAGCTAATTAAGCGTATAATATATTTAACTTAGATATAACTAAAAAAACTATTTATTGCTTTAATGATAAATCTTACTAAAATAAATAAAATTGGTGAATTTTGTGCTGTTAATTCGAAATAAAAAAAAAATTTTTTATCCAAACTTGTTTTCAAGCGCGTATTGCAAAACTTATAAAATAAATAAATAAAAAACTAAAGAAGAAGAAACATGTTTTCAGTTTAAAAATACATTTCATCAATGAAATTAGTCAAGAAACAATCTTTGTTTAGCTAAGTTCTAAGGTCTTAATAAAATTTTATATATTATGTTTTAATTTAATTTTTGCAATGAAGAAAATATTAAATAGGACTGTGCTCTTTTACGGATTTATCTTGAAGCAAATTTTAATTATTGGTATGTTGAAGTGTAAAATAATTGAAGTTAAAATGAAATTCTTTTAAAGAACACGTCTTTTTTTTAAGTCAATGCAAACAGTAAGATAACATTTCCCGGATTTTTCTCGCAACAGAAGTGCACCTTCTCAAATGGAACTAAAGGTGTTTGCACTATTGTTCGAGATTGTCCATTTAATTTTGATTATCCAAATGAGGAATTAAAAATATGTTTTTCTCCACCTGGTGACCAATATATATGTTGTAATAGAGAACGTCCTGCTGTCAGAGGTATTGTGTATTATTCAATATAAACACTATTATTCACAAATTCCACTAATTTAATAGCTTGTTACGAGTTTTATCCCGAAGTTCAATATATAGTAAATGGACTCAAAACATATTATAAGGAATTCCCTTATATGGTAAGTAGAAACTTTATTATTTGACCTTATACATTATATTTGATCCAAGCAGCTATATTCGTATATACTGAATATTACCAATTATTAGATAGCACTTGGTTGGAAAACTTTTGAGGATAATAAATATGATTACAAATGCGGAGGTGTATTAATCGATAATTATTACGTTTTAACCGCTGCACATTGTGCTAACATCAATGGGTAAGTTGATTTTAATTGAAAAAAATCTTACTCTAATCTTAATGTAGATAAAAATTAAGATAAGCCAATATAATGAACTTGGTTTTTTATCTTGAGTGTAGGAAAAAGCAAATAAAAAATTAAGTAATACATTTAGCTATTCTAACTCGAGTTTGTTAGTTTCTTTAATGAAGTAAAGAAGTTAGGGGTAGAGTAAGAGCGGGAAAGAGTAACCGAGAGAGAGAAGGAGTGAGAGCATTATACATGCTCAAGACATCATAACCAAACAATCTTAATCTAGTTCTTGCAAATGTTAGGCAATAACAGATGAAGTAATTTATATTACATACTCATTCGATACATGATTAGCATGTTGGATTAATAATGATGCCCATAGTGGTCATGTGGTCTTCACTTGTATTGTGTCCTATGATGGCTGCGATCAGTGTTTTTAAAATTTTTATCAATAATTGGAAAAAAATTCCGCTAATCTATCGTCAGGCTCAATTACAAAGCGTTTCGTCACCTTGCATGACTCCATTTCGGACTATGTGCACATAAGCACTAGATGTAAAAAGTAAAATATAGGTTCATATATTGTATTACTAGTATAGTACATTTACATTTAGTTTGAAGAAAAACTAATTGGCACTTCTCCTTTAGTTTGAATTGACTATGTACAATTTGTTGGAATCTGCAAGTGTCAAGAAGACGTACAAGTTTTAAATTTAATTTAAAGGCGAAATATTCAAAACCTTAAGAAATTTAAATAAAAAGTAAATTCGTTTTATTAAATATTGCGTATAGTATCACTTAATGATTAAATGTATTACTAAAGATTTAAAATATTAAAAAAACGTAATATTCATATTAATTAAAATGGCTTTAATTTATAAGATTCTTCCGCAATAAACTGCTATATATCTGTGCAAGAGTGAGCTACATGAGAGAGGGGTGTTCATCACTTATCGAATAGTTTTTGAATTGTCACATATAACATGAAGTGAAATTAATAGAGGTCAAACTCTTCAGGAAGTACTCCGCAAATAATGATTGATTTCTTTCTTATTGCACCCAGAGCATTAGACTCAATCACCCAAAAAAAAACATAATGTTAGTTTTAAGTGCAATTGAAAATTTGGTGAATGAAACAGAAATTTAGAGGTTCTGTGATCCATATAGAATAACAAAATTTCATACGTGTAAATATATTGCCGAAAAAAAATACAGAGAATTAAATGTTTAATGTGATGAAACACAGCATCCGTCGTGTTGATTATGCATCTATTCTATGATTCTATGAATTTTATAAGCATTTTATATAACTGCCCAAGGTAAATTATGGTGTATTTATATAAATTTGTTTTTGTATATTATTTTTAGAAATTTATATATATTATCGTTAATAAATACTATTTATTTTAGCTTAGAACCAGTTGTAGTACTACCCGGTGGTGCTAATTTAAATGACGTTAAGGAAAAAATTTATGACATCGCAAAAGTAATTATTCATCCAGAATACAATCCAGTATTGGCATATAATGATATTGCATTGATAAAGTTAAAAGAACAGATTAAGTAAGTATGATAAACTAAGTGATATATCATAATACAATAAATTCATTTTAAATCAAATTCTTGATAGTTACGATAAGGCGTGTTTATGTAGCAACCAAGAATTATATCTTAAAAATCTCACTGCAATTGGTTATGGACATACAAGTTTTGGTAAGACTTATTTCAAATTCATTGTAGTCAATATATAGTAAGCTATAAGACATATCATATATTTTATTTTTTCGTAGCTGGCAACAAATCTGATGAACTTTTGAAGGCATATCTCTTTGTTCCATCAAATGAAAACTGTCAGCATTTCTATGAACACGACGATTTTGTGCCATTTGGAGTGATAAGCTCACAAATGTGCGCATTGGATCCATTAAAATCAAGGGATACTTGTCAGGTAAAATAATTTAGTTGTTTAATTAAACAATATATAAAAGCATCTATAGAAAAGGAATATAATCTATTATTAATATTTGTTTTTTTTATTTTAAGGGGGATTCTGGTGGACCAGTGGTTTTGACAGTAAATATTAATGGCAGGTTCATACCTCACGTTGCCGGCATAACATCATTTGGACAAAACTGTGCTGGAGATGCTCCGGGCATTTATACACGTGTTTCAGAGTATTTGGAATGGATTGAGACAATTGTGTGGCCAAAATACAAAATATAATTATTTAATAAAACTACGCATAATTATTAACAAAAATAAATATATTTATATATTATTTTTATAAAAATTATTTTAAATAACTATTCATTTCTCCAAACAATGCTTTCAATCCAATCTAGATATGATGATATTCTCGTATGTACGCTTGGATTGCCACTGCGACAAGCTAAACCATATGAAGTTATACCGATTAAATAAAAATGCTTACGCTTTCTACGTCGTCGTCCTTGTACATTTAATTGCAATGGACCACCAGAGTCACCCTATAAGTAAACATGTATCGCTTTTAAAAAACATTTGAGTAAAAATGAATTAAACTTACTTGGCAAGTATCGCGATTCATTAATTTATCCTGTGCACAAATTTGACTGGAAATTATACCAGACGCTGTTTCTGGTAATGCGGGCATCACACGATTGCACTCATCATTCGATATAATTGTCATATTCAAATCAGTTAAGCGATTCGTACGCTCTTTTCCAAAAGCAGTCGCTCCATAGCCCATTGCAAATGCAATAGTATATGGTATACTTTCATTAACCCAAAGATGTATGGGTCGCACAAATTCTGTAAATCTGGAAAAAATTTAAATACATAATTTATATAATTTGTCCATATATAATTGAAGAAGAAATATTCCACTTACTCTACATCATCTTCGAGTTCAAGTAAAGCTATATCATTGTAATATGAACTAGATCGATAGCTGGGATGAATGTATATGTTTCTGATTCTAAGTGTTTGTGGTACTACATTATTTTCATCTGCTTTTAGGTTTAAGTCACCTATGCGTACTTGAATTGGAGATTGTCTATTTTGAATTTTAGTAATGAAATATGTATTATAAACTTATGTTTTATACTTCATACCCGGTAATGTTTGTACAATGAGCTGCAGTTACGATAAAGTTCTCACTAATAAGACTACCTCCACATTTGTAATCAATGTCTTGGTTATCCATTTCAAAACCAACTGCTGTCTAATTAATGAAGAATAAAAAATTCTTTAAGCATTTTTAATAATTTTAAAATAAGATTTTAAAATATATATTGTCATACATATACGACAACTTTTTGATAAGATAGTTATAACTGTATATAATATTTTAAAATATCTAAAAATGGCGTATTAATATATGACAAATGTGGTAAAAATCCGGATGTGATGAATAAAATCGCTGATAAAGTGATGGAAGTAGATCCATGATATCAGCAAAGTTTGTAATACTGCTAATATAGTTAATATCTAAATTAAATCCTTTTTTAACATTTTGTAAGATCGTTTGTATATGGAAAGTTTGTCAACAAGATAGCTGCTGATTTTGCTTATGGAGGATCATGTAATTACTTCGAAGCGGTGTTTACATATATTTAATACTACTATACTCCAAAACAGTTTCTGCATGGATATGTAACTTTAGAAAAGTTGTGAATAGAATACTATATGTGTTCACTGGAAATGAAAGAATGTGGGATTTAAAAAATGAATACAGTTCCATTAGAAAGAAATATTATAGTTTCTGATAAATATAGTATAATTCTGATATATTTTTGACTCCGTAAGGCCAAAATATTAACAGAATAATAAGTGGTGCTTTTTGAAAATAAGAGATTATTGTCTTACGACCACAAAGATTCGTCTCCTTAGTCAGCAATTGTAATTTTAAAATTTGTCAAATTAGATTTTGAATTGTAGTCATAACATTTGCCAAACAAGCTTAATCTCAATTAATTCTTAATTTTGAAGAAAATAGAAATAAAAGAAAATTAATTTGATTTTAGACCCATGTATGTTTTAAATAACTGGAGTAATTCTATTCAAACTCTTTTTAAATATTATTTTAATTCCAACTTTAAATTGAAGTACTGCTGGAGACACTTACTCCAGATGTGAAGAAGACATTGGCGAAAATAGATTTAAAAGTAAGCAAAAAGTTTGATTATTTTCTATAATTTCTCAAACAGTTGGAGGAGATTCTCAAACAGTACAAGCAATGGAATAGATAATAACATCGACAAAAAAATTTAGATAACTTGTTTAATCAATTTAATTAATCAACTGGGGTAGTTCTTTAATTTTTTCAAAAAAAAAACAAACCTTCGAAATTTAGGTTATTAGGTTATATATTGGATGTGTCACAATGTATTGGAAGTAGCTTAATAAATAAAATTGGAATTATTAACAACGTGATACTTTTATTTTATTTACGGAGTGCTAGCACACAGCACTAAAGATAAAAATAAAAGATTGGCTAAAGTACAAAATATTTTTACAAAAAAATTTGTTAGGGATATAGATATCTTTTATTCTTTATAATCTTTAAATATATTTTTTTATTTAAAGCTTTTTGCTAATATTCCGTTGACTATCTATAGAATTAATGATTCTTAAAGTCAAATTCGTTTATTGTAGGAAACTTTTTAAAAACTATGTACTTATTTATACAGGTGTGTATTAATAATAATAATAGGTAATAATAACAATAAAGCTTTTTGCCATGACTTTATTATGACATACTTTATATACATATGAACAATTCGAACAATTGCGAAAAAAAACTAATTTTATGAAGAATTATTTGGAAAAATAAAGAAGTAATAATGAATACATATATAAAATTTACTAAACATAACTCATAAGTTTAATAATATCAAAACTGATTTAATCGTTAATAATTCCTACTAATACGTCATTATCAAAACAAACAATTTTCGATTAAGTTCAAGGGGCTTCAAAATGTCTGCGGAGAATATCAACAAAAGACAAACAGAAATAATCTCCTAGGAAATAAAATGGAAAGTAAATTTTTGGATGATGATTTGTTGTATATACGTACTGTGGTCGACAATATAAATATTTTTAAATAAATTAAGAGAGAAGTTCAAAAGGGCTTAAAAGTTTGATAACTACTACAAATACTTAGAAAATTGAAAATATATAAACGAAAAAAATAATAATAAATTAATAAGTATCAAATAAGTATCAAATTTTTTTATTAAAAAGTTTTTAATTTCTAATTTCGTACTAAAATATTAAAAATATTTAAATTCAACAAACAACCTTAATCTAAAATTAAACTAGAATTTTCTTTACCACTTATATATAGATTCATAAAGCATACCATATGTGGATATTCCCCTGGAAAAGCAAGAACACGACCGTTAAAGTCGGTATCGTTAGCATCTGCAATTATGTCTGCATCATTCGGAAATATGCGTCGAATATATTCAACATATTCTATTATTAATATAAATGAAATTCATTAAAATTATTTCGAACAAACTTTATAAATCCCGAATTTTAATATTCACTTTTTTCACAGATTCTCTTGCGATGTTTTTTCTTATTTCCATTATTTGGACGCGGCTTTGGTTTATTATGACTTTCGAATTGTATTTCATCATTTCTATTAGGATATGCAATCGGTTTGGTATTAGGAAACACAATATTGCTTTCCTGATAGAAACCCGGCTCTTCAAATTCGATTTCATGGGCATGACCTTCACAATGCAGTCGGTGGCAATGTTTTGAATTTGTTATTGTAGTTATAAGTATAAGTAAAAAATTTATTTTCAACATTTTTATACATTTAATTAAATAAAAGAAATTAACAAAAATTACACACAAATGGTTTCAACTAAAAAACTCAACTGTTGATTTTGTCTGTAAAAGCAAATTGTGGAGCCTCCACATTTGCTACTCACATATAAGCGCCAGATACGTTTATCTGCAGAATCATTTCCGAACTGTAAAAGTAAATTTATTGTCAGTATTAGTGCATCTATGTAAATCTGCTCGGAATTCAAGAGAATTTTGTAAGAGTATTGAAGTACATTAATATTAATGGCAATCAACATTTTTTACTAAATACTAAAAAAAAGTCCCGAAGCTTATGTTGACTAGGTCTTCTACAAAAAGATTATGTATCTGAGATAATCAAAATAGAAAGTTTGTGGTTTAAAGATATTTTTATTGTTATCTGTTATAAATGTTTGTGTTTATAAGCGTAAATTATCAATATTAAGTTATCAATTTAATGGATGAGTTTATTTAAAAAAACTTTACATTAACATATATTAACTTTACATAGTATTATTTTTAAGTTAAACATATCGTATTGAGTTACCCTTTCAGTATAATAAACGACTCAACAACTATCACATTTTTTTTAACGATTTCCATAAAACTGTAAAGTCGTCTTAAGCTACTGTTGTCTAAATCTATTTTAGTTTATAGAGCGACTATTTGTTTGGAATGATTTTAATGAAAGCCGTTTGTAGTCTTTCATTTATTATATAAATTTAATCGATATTATTTTCTAACTAAATTTAAAGCCGACAATTTCACATTTAAAGCCGACAATCGTAGTTGCGACTACGATAAGGATATTATTAAAATAAGGTACAGAGTTTTAAAAAGTAGCCTACTTTATAATAGGTGACATATATTTACAAGATATATATATTTACACATATAAAGAAAAAATGGTTTAATGTTAGTTTTAACGCCTTGTTTGAGATTACTACAATCTACTTTTATATGATTCTACTTTCGAGAATTATATCAAAAACGTTCGTGTAACCAATTTACCCACTGAACTATGAAAAATGAATGTAACTGCTTGCAGTAACGTTGTTGGTTATTGTGCACTGCTCTATGTGATCTAAAATATCTTGAAATTAATATCAACATTCCCAATTTCTTTCGAATGACTTCCCTTTGGATTGTCGTGGCTATAATCATTATTCTTTTATTACAAATATGTAACTGCTTGTTCTTCAAGCCTATATGCATTTATTATGTCTAAGGTTTAATTTCGTTTCAGCAATGTAATTTTGTAGTAGCTGAAACAATTGGTAATCGGTCGGTGCAATGTCCGGACAATACTGTAAATGCATTAAACCATAACAGTCAAGGATTACCAATTTTTCTCAGCCTATATCACTTATCGACTCTGATACTTTTTCTTTAGTCTGGTTTTTACTGGACCGGTCGCAAACTATTGAAATCTGAATCAGAAATAAGCATTTAGGGTTTGGTTAGACATTAGTTTATTAGTAGGTCTTGTTGACATCACTACAAAGCTATGAAACTCAATACATCACTTTTTTTGTTATTAATTCTAATTTAGCCACCATTTATTGAGTTTCAACTTTTTCGAGTGAGAAATATTTTTTTAAAATATTATTAGAATAGTGAACATAGAAGCTCGAATAATATAGATATATATAAAAATATTATAGAAATAGACATATTATATACTTTCTCCCAATTCATATGGGAATCATAAATTGAGAGCTTATTTTTAATCAGCTTTATAAATATGACATATATTATATGTTAGTTATTACCTGCATTACTTTAGTAAAGCCTTAATTGATCTCGATCGCAGTTAATCCATTTTATCCATAACTTCATCGACATTCTCGTGTTAGTTTGTACAGATTAAATAGTTTTTTACGAACAAACTTTCAAAACTAAAGCTAGTACCCATTTTTTGATAGTTGATTGTGATAGATTATCTTTACAATAAACACTATATTTTTTTTTGTAATATTGTGCTATAATCCTTTCAATTCTTTCATCGTATTCAAAATATCAGTCATCTATGTGAAACTTCCTAATATAATAGGTATATCAGTCTGTATAAAACTTCCAACAATAATTAATTAATTTGTCATTGTGTGAATAATGCAAATAACAGTCAGATCCATTTGAAGTTATTACACTGTGAAATCAGGACAACTGATAAAAATACTGGAAATAAGAATTATAGCAAATTTATTAATTTTTTTTTTATACATTTCAAGAATGCTTAAATACTCTTTTAATATCTACAATTTGTAATATTTTCAAGAAATTAATTTGCTCAATTTCAACACCTCTCGTACCACAGTTTAAGTATTCAGTTAGGATTGAAACATCAAAATCATTTAAAACTGATACATTGTTTTACTTTTTTTTTTAAATTTTATTAATAATTTCAGTACGTCATTAACATTTATCAACAACAAATTAAAAAAATGAATAAATTTTAAACAAGTTAACAATTTCGACATCACAAATTAGTTATTCAGATCTCTACAAATTAATATTAATATGTTGTGGATCTACAAATGATGCACTTTGTATCTGATGGAATTGCGAGGAACCGCCCAACTGTTCATATTGCGCTAAAATAAAATTTTAATATTTGTTATTGAAATACCAATTATATAAGACAGATTTTGTATCGCAGATATTCACCAATTATATCGCGTTGTATTTGCTCCAATTCCTCATCGTTGTTGTATTTCAAGAACTGCACACTATTTCGATTTTCATTTTGTGCGGAAGCAATGTAACAAGTTAAGATACAAATCCAGAGCATTATATAAAACTGTAAGACAATAATTAAAATAACATTATAAATACTTAATATGTATGTATTTATAGATTTGATAATTTACAAAAATTCCCTTCATTTTGCTTAGTGTCTGTGCTTAGTGTCTCTTTGGTTTCGTAGCTTAAATGACTAAAATCGAAAATAGCAGAAAATAAGATATTTATACTAATTTTTTTTTTCATCTTTTAAAAAAATAACCATTATATTAGTTGTAAACATGAACTTCAACTTGAAAACTAGTTTAGTTTGTTAATTTAATTTACAAAATTAGTTTCTTTGTCTTTGTACTACTTAGCAGTCGGCTTTTGATATAAGTTTGGCTTCAGTTATGAACCCTACTTTGCCTTGTTCGATAGGTTTGATTTTAATATTTATAAAATCGAATATAATAATATTTTTTTGTATTATTTTCCTTATACTTAAATGTTTACAATATAATGTTTATAATTATATCAGATGGTAATATAATTATTATATATTAATTATTGCAAGAATATATACTGTACACTGGCTGTAATATCATATATAATGTATATATATGGCGTATAGCCGACTCTACTATATTGAAGCTACAAGTTGCTCAGAGTCATGCTCTCCGAAGGTTGTTCAAAGTGCCATGGTACATCCGCACAAATGACATGCTAAGAGACCTTAAAGTAGATCCGGTCAAAAAATACATACGGGACAGAGTTCTAAAGTTATATTTAACACTATTTAGCACTATTTTATTTCAGAAAAATCACTACCTGCACGGGGCGGTACGAGATCTTAGATCAGACATTGAATAATCACAAAGATTATGAGGAATACTCAAATTAGTCAGTGAGATGGGTGGGATTCTGCAGAAACTCCTCAGCTATCAAAAAGTAAAAGCACCCACATGCACTATCTCGGAAAAAGCTCAATATTACATTACATTACTTAAAACAGAAAAGAAACATATCTTATAGTTGTGTAAAGTGTAATGAAACTTAAGTCATCGAATGAATAATCATCATATTTATTGGTACTATAAGCGGTGTCTGGTCTTGACCTCTTTCAATACATATCTCCAAGGAAATAGAATAAGTGTAAGACAATTTCAGAATGACGTTTCAGTGCAGGTTTGTATGCAAGGTATTTGATTTCATCCAAAATCTATCCTATGTTTATGCTAGTTATGATCTGAATAATAAACCATAATAGTAAAAGCGATTTTTAAATTTTCTCAATCAAAAATGGTATATGTTGTATTTCACCATTTAAGACAAATATATTTTTAATGTTTTTTAGCTCCAGAAACTAGCAAAAACAAGTCGATTTTAACTTGTTTTGGTACCGATATACTCAAGGAAGCTGTTTTTTTTTATATGTTTACATAAGTCCACATGTGGACTTAAAATATTTACTTCTTACTGTTGACATATCTAGTGCAATTTAAAAAATCTATAAAATTTTATTTAGCTTGTGGTGGGTTTGGCTAGTGGGTATGAGTTGTATACAATCACTATTTTTAAAGAAAGCACCAGCAGGTTCGAGATAGTAGCTTCAAGTAAAGCAATGTATTATAATTGTTGATTAATAAAAAAGAGGAATGTAACGAGTTTGCTTGGCGCCTACAATTTGTCTTTCACTATCATAATTGTAAGTCTAAATAATTGTTGTTTGGTACTACTTAAAATGTTTGATTCCTATTATCTTGAACTTAAAATGTTATGTTGTGTTAACATGTTATGTTGTGTAAATGCGCAATATAAATAGTATATTTCATACAGAATTTCTAAAAATTCGTCAAACCTTAGAAGGTTTGATAAGTCTGAGTATGAATAAGTTTTAGACCCAACGTCTAAGTGTAAGTGCTTTGTTTGATATCTACATAATATAAATGATTTAAAATATATTAAATTAAATTATCAATAACATTTTCAACATTTATTGAGATACTGGGCGTCAAATATCATTACTCTACTTACTATTTTCCAGTAATTGTCCTTTGAGAAAGCAACCTATAGTTTTTGCATGAGATATGGAAAATTTTTGAATTAAGCAATAAGTTTCTTGCTTTTAAGAGGTAAGTAGAGAAATTAGTGACGCTTTAACAAAAATGAATGATACTTTAACAAAAATATATATATAACTCTTTAACACCTTGTATATTAGTATATATTAAAAAGGCAACAATTATACAACTTTTTTCGTGTTTCAGACCATCATTGATTATATCTCGATAAATATAATACTAAAAATTTTCAAATACAATAGTTGATTAGAGTATATAATATATTATATAAATGTTCAATTCTGTTAATAAATGTA